AGGAGGAGGAAGAAGAAGACGAAAACGAAGACGAAGACGAAGAAGAAAAAGGAGAGCAAAGTCGAAAATATACGACCTCAACCAGAGCTCCACAAAATCAAGTTATAGTACGCTACAGTTGTTGATAGACTACCAGATTTATTCGCAGATCCGGCGAGGGTTGAGGTGTTGTTGAAATTCTTTACTTACTTGCCCCGCCAAAAAATATTTAGATATTTATTCACATATATATTATTTTCAATCTTAAAATATTCCTAAAATCTCTTGACTTTTTATTTTATTGAACGATAAGGTTTCGATTTCTCTTCAAACCTCTTTTTTGACTTTTTGGAGTGAATGAAGTGTGCAAACGAGAACCCTAATGTTGCTTGTTAATTGGAGGTAAGAAAAGTGCTTTGTATCCTCTTTCAACTCTCTCAAACGTCTGTTGCCTGCGGTTGTTAGTTCAATCAATTTTTCTGCTGTTCCGGTCTACATATGTGTGAAGAAGAATTATTTATACTTATTTTCCTTTTTTTTTTTTTTGTTTTTGTTTAATTATAAATACAATAATAAGTAAATTGTTATGATGTTTTTGTTTTTGTTTTTGTCTTAATTAGATTTAATTTTATTCTCTTCTCTCTTTAGGTTCATCCGTTTTTTTTTTTTTTTTTTTTTTTTAAACTTTTCCTATTGCGCGTCGTTCTTAGCCCATCTCACGCATGTTTTTAATATGTCTGTAGAGCGGTGTATGCTTTTCGTTTTGTAATTAATTGTTGTTGTAGTTGATAGAGTTTTGCTTTTCATTTTCAATCCTCTTCTTTTTTCTTTTTTTTTCTTCTTTTTTATTGTTTTGCATAACTGAATAAATGTTTGCTGTTTTTTGTGTTTTTTTTTTTTAGATATTTTTTATTATTATTATTATATTATTATTAATATTAATATTTTAAATTTTTCTCCTTCCATATCATCTTGTTTTCCATATTGTGTAGTATTTCTTGTTTTATTTGTATTTGTTTAAAGAGCGTTTGCAATATGTTGTTGGTTGTTGTTGTTGGTTGTTGTTGTTGTTGTTGTTGGTTGTTGTAGTTTGCTATTGTTTATGTTGTTGTTGCTGCAGTTGATGTTTTTAAAATAGTAGCAAAATCCTTCTTCATTACAAAACTTTTCATGCTATTGTTGCTGTTTTTGTTGTTGTTGTTGCTGCTGTCGTATAAATAGTTATAGATGTTAAAACTATTCATTTCTGCTGCGGCGGCGGCGGCGGCGGCGGCAGTTGCTGCATTTACTGCTTTTCCTATTGTTTTTATTGTTGACGATATACTATAATAATAAGTATGACAACGACGACGACGACAACGACGACGGATCAATTTTACAAACTGGAACGCATCACATAGCATACTTTCTGGTCCACTCTCGTGCCAATTCATTATATTTTTCCCGATCAGTTTTATATATTCTTGCAATCTCTGGTACCAACGGATCATCTGGATTCGGATCACAGAGTAGAGAGCAAATTGATAATAAAACTGCAAAATGAAATTGAAAATTTTCATTTACTTATTTGTTTATTATTTTTTTTTTTGTGATTAATGTTAAAAAAAAAAAGAAAACCAAAATTTCATTTCCGTCCATACCTTTTGATATAGTAAGTGCTGGCGACCATTGAGATCTTAATATATCGAGACAAATCGAACCGTTGCTGTTAATGTTTGGATGGTATATACGCGTTGTAAAAGCCACTTTAGGCGGTTTGAATGGATAATCTGTCGGAAAATGAATTGTTAAGAAAAACACACCACCTTGATACGGGCTGTCAGGCTGAAACGACGTATATAATAATAAAAAAAAAAATTCACTTTAATTTAAAAAAAAAAAAAGCAAGGAAGGTTTTTACAACAAAACATATTTGCTTCTTCTTCTTCCAATTGCTTTATCAACAAACAATATCTGAAGTTCTTTATTGTCACAAAATTTCTACACAACGAGATCCATCTAACAATGGATGAGTCAACTAAATGCAAAAAATGTCTCTTACCGGTCCCATTATTGTTGCCTGCCAGTGAAATACTGTAAAGAAGAAAAAAAGGACGAGAAAGATTTCATTAACGATTTCGATATTAATATAATAACATTACATATTGAGTGACCAGCTTTGGAACAAATACATCAAATATCAGAAAGGCTTTAGGGCTAATTCTCAATCGACTTTAATTTATCTTAAAAATAAATGCATCATTGGATTTTTCCGAACCTAGAAAACATACAGAAAACTTCAAATCTATATAAATTTCTCCACAAAATTTCTCCAAAGTTTCTAAAGGTCAAACCTAAATGAAAGATACCTTGGCCCACATTAGTAAAAAACATTAGCCAGAGTAACACATTTTCAAGCGTTTAAAAAAATAGACATAAAAAACTACCGCAGTCTGCACACAACCACCTTACATATGTTTTGCCTGAAAGTACATTAGTTGATGAGGTGCATGTGTATTTGGTTGGAATGGCTGTAAAAGAGCGAGCAACCATTAAGTGGCGCTATTGAATGTTACCTACAATTACAAGAATCGGAATATTTACGATTCTGCCTTTAAGCACCGTGCCAAAGGTTTTTGTGGTGTATTCGAAGGCCACTACATATATAATATATCGATCACTAAGTCCCGGAACCAAACGGACCAGAAAGGTTCGGATTTATTCCTTCAACAATAAAACAATCATTCCCCAACACCCAACACCCAACTACCCCAACATTTGAATGCCTTTTTATATAGAACGCTCTCTTCAGACTTTAAAAATATGCTTCAGCTTTCACGTCACCATTGAATCCCACTTTTTCTTCCTGCAAGAAAATCCTTTTCGAAATTTCCAAGCGGACAATATATTTGGATTAAGGAAATTAATTCTTTGGTTTGTAGCGGACGTGTCCCTCTGTGAGTAAAAAAAGGCAATTTTGCAAAAATGTATTTCTTAGAGACAAATTTTCCCGCAAACTAGTGAGTACAGCGCGTTGTGATGTCTTAAAAATGCCAGCAATCTCAGAAAGTGCTCATCGCGTTTAGCATCATCAGTGTCCTTACGACACCGCTTCACAAATGCCGTGAAATTGTATTTCCAATAACAATATGAATTTTTCGTCAGAAAGAGAGATATCTATAAACCAGTCCTGGGAATTGTTGATCGATATCTGAAGTGCACATGCGGGCTAAATACATGCAAAATATACTATTTACTACGACACAAATTATATCGCGTTTAGTATAAATAGAAATAATACGTATATCGAATGTTATATGCGCGTAACCGATGGCGGTAAGTTTTGCTTGCATGATTGCTAGTAAAGCAGCGTTTCTTAAATGCCCTCAATTGGGAAATAATCGCTTCAGGAGCCAAATGGTTATTACATGAAGTAAAAGAAAAGCACTAAGGTTTAGAGAAGGGTAATAATAATGGCTTTTAGTTTCACGTTACTTTACGTTACAAGGAAGAATACAAGGTTTCGCGCACAGCAAATGTGGATGTCTTTTACTATATTGTTCTAGCACTATGCTCGCGACAATAGCTTTGGCAATGTGACAGAGATGTGTTCCAAATCATCAAAAAGAAAAAATGTTGTATGCAATGTTGTTTGTGTGCTGGGAAAAAACAAAGGGAAACTATAAAACATTGACGATTGATCCAGGAGAACACACGAAACAGGAAAAACTAAAATTTTTTAATTCTTTGTAGTTGAAGCTTTCTTCGCAGTGGTTACAATTTTATCTATACGGCTAGTCGGACACAATGTCCCTCTACCCTGTTGCCTAGCATGATTATGACACTTTTTAGTAATTGTGTTATTGAGCAATTTCTCATTTTTGATGACGTTCTTCTGAGCCTTGCATTGAATCTTAAAAGGAGTCCAACACATCAATATTTTCGCCAGATATTTCACTATATTATGCAGACACCAATAGCTTTGTTCTGGTGTTGTGACCGAGCACAACATGCATAATACAATGAAATATATATATATATATATGATATATATTCAATCATATATATTTAATCTATCCATGTAATAAAGCGATGGTTAGCAGCTGGTGGGGAAAAGGGAGGGGAGACAACGGCCGGTCGCGATCTGCCAATAAATCCGGACAATTTGTCTTCTGTAGCAGATTTATTATTCCGCGACAGTAACTACAAAGAAAGATTAGACTGGCTGGCTGGCTGGCTGGCTCTCCGATATCACTTGCTTTGTCTAGCGGCGACTTCATAATGTTTTCCGTGCAGTACGGTTTGCACAAGGAATGGAACGAAGCTTACGAAACGAAATTCGCAAAGGTGCAGCACAAGATCATTTAATTCGCGATATTACTAGAATTGATTATATACATCTTTCAATCATTTTCACAACGGACCAAGAAATAAAGAGAACATAATTCCTCAACTGACTACTAGCGCTGTCTTGTATGTGTTCTGCAAACGTCAAATTAAACGTATTGAAAATGTTTGCCCTGATTTCATGTACTTTTATAGATACGTAAGATAAAATGTGTAATCATAAAACCAACTTACAATCATCTCCTACTGGGCCAGCTGAACATTGCGCAGGTGGATCTCTGCCCAAATCTTGTAATTCCTGCAAATAATTGTAAAAATTTAAAGGTACGTTATATATAAAAAAAAAAATAAAAATAAGCGAACATATACATCATTATCTTTCTAATATACATAGAATAGACGAGAATGCAAAAAAAATACTTCTTTCTCTATGAAAAGAGACAGTGAATCATATCTTTTAAGACTGAGCGCTGTTGACCATGTAATATGTGTGACGTTTTGTTCCTTGCATTTTTTTTTGCTGTTGTTGTTTTTGTTTTATGCAAAACAAAGATTTATAGTAAAAGTTACTATATAGAAAAAGTTTTTTGTTTGCATTGAAGCGTAGCCGCAGCACTAACACCATAACAAGAGAAAATAGAATTTCGCATATACACACTTATAACTACTGATTGCGTATTAAGAACAACGAAAATGTTTTTAAGTTCACTGACCCCCTAAAGCAAAAATCATAATAAAAACTGAAAACACATTTTTTGGCAGCAACTATTGTAACAAAATCCAAAAATATAATAACAACAACAACAACAAAAAGTACACCAACACCACCAAACATTTTAAATGCATACAATGTAAAGAGCTCTAGCTATAGGTGGGCATATATTTACACAAGAATAAATTCAAAAAGAAGAAAACAAAAAAAAAAAAAAAAAAATTATAAGAAGAAAAACCTAAAAACATAACTATAGTATAATAAGCGGCAGTTAGGTGTAAAAAGACTGACTTATTTTTATTGTAACTGTGTACTTCGATACTACTGCAACACTACGCCACCTACAAAACCAGTCATTTATAAAATACGATATGTGCAGTCGCCTTAAAACGAATTTCGAGTACCTTTTGCCTTATTTTTATAAATATTTATAAAAATCGCAAACTTTTTCAGCTAAACAATTGCCAAAGCATTTATGCAATTCTATGAATATTGGCTATAAAGTAAACGTCAAATCGAAAGCCAATCCAACCTGTTGAAATGAACGAACACTGGTGGCTTTGTCAATGCGGATTCTGCTTTTAATTTAAACGCAAACTTGAAATAATATGCCCAGGTTCGGACTTTGTCTTTCTAATCTTGACTTTTTAAGAATATCAAACAAGCCACACATGTTCGCGGGCAAGTTGCCTTAGGGAATCTCCCTCGTGAGTGAAACATGTACTTAATGTTAAGGGAACTTCTAATGCCTGTTTGTTCGTTCTACAAACGTTTGGTGAAAGCTGTTGTATCCCTCTGGCTTATCCTGTCGTCTGTGATAGATATAAAAATTATTGAAAAGGAAAATTTTGCACCAAAGGCACATTCATTAAATATTCAAACGTACCTATGTGGGCACATACACGCACATATGACCACACATTTAAAAAAAAAAAAAAAAACAACATCTGATGACATCAAATCAAATTTTCATATCCCGCCTGTCTGGCATTGCATTATATATAAATATATATATATATATAAAAAAAAAAAATTAAATATCGAAGCATATACACACCGACACGTGTATTAACTCATTCAGTCATTGTGTACATATAAAAAAGTGTGCCTCACGAGCACAGATGTGTATGTAAAATGAAAATATAAGGAAGAGATATCAAAAAATTGCATACATGTGGCCAAGAATAGAAAGACCGACGTTTAACATAGCGTCAGACAGGAATAATATAAAAACGACGACCACAATAATTACAATATTAAGACTAAAATACAACACATATTTAGATTATATTCCATATATATATATATATGCCTTACTATGTACACATATGTATACTTAAATGCCTTTAAGTATAAATAATTTAAAAACAAATGAAATAATAATAAAAACTAAACAAACGATTGCATAAAAACTTGAACATTAAACAATTACTAAAAAAAGTGATGTTTTTGTTGCTTTTTGGCTAAATACAATTAGTGATTAAAACTAATGTTATGCTCTATAATAAACTAAAAATTAAAAAAAAAAAAAGAAGAAAAAGAAAAAGAGCATTACAACAAATAATAATTAACGCCAGCAGCTAATGAAAATAAATGAATTAACGAATACAAATTAAGCAAGCTTGATAACAATCTCATACGAGTTAAATAAAAAAATTCAAACGAAGAAGAAATTAATACGTTTTCTTCTTCTTCTTCTTTTTCTATGTATTAAGTAATTTTACCGAAATTAGATAATGATTTACATTGGAAGATAGATAATTCGCCATTATCTCAAATGTCTATTGCCAATGGCATAAGTCATTGCCAGTTAGTCAGTGAGTAAGTCATTAGCAATATTATTAATTATACGAAATTATTAATTATATAAAATGAAACCGGTTACAATTAAAACGAGAAAAGAATGAATTCACAATTTTTCCCACTTTGTTTTTAAGAAGCTTTACACGCAAAGCGACATGTCTTTCCTTACTTCGATTTAATGCGATAAGAATTATCAAAGATGTTATCAAATGTTTCCAATTAATTATCGTATGTGATGCATGTGATCCAATATTCTTACTAAAAAGTAAGATGAAGTCATGAAACTTTTTTTTTTTCTGTGTTGCTGCGATTGTTTGACATCAGCTATTGTAGCATTACCGCAGATTACACTTGGATCTACGCATACGACCGCATCGAGTGAATATCGTGCAGCCAAGGTGACCCAAGACCGAAAAAATCGCACCGAAATCGCTCAAAAATCTACGTGATTCTAAAATATGCTCATGTCCGTCGTTGCGTCTTCCTCAAATGACTCTTAATCACAAGCGACCCTCTTCTCCTTAGAGCTCACAACGTCTGGGAAAATTTAAATGCATACTGGAAGCTTATTGCGTAAATAATTCAGAAACGCAACTAAAGAGCGGAACAAGGTATATATAAAAAAATAATTTAACTGATCGCTTCCCTACTTTAAATAAACTCTAATCGTCCTCAGTTATTTAAAATTGCTCGGTAGCTTAAGAAAACGCCTCTTCCAGGTGCGAATAATTCGTTTCTCACATCTTGATACTTATTACTTGCAATTAAGAAGGAGTTAATGGTAGAAAAAAAATTCGGACTGCGAGGAGCTAATATTAATGCTGGCAGCTTTAAAGCTAGAGTCATATTCATAACTTAAATGGAATAAAGAAATTTCAGTTATTCGGTAATAATTTTACCCTTCGGAATAATTGGTCTGTATATAGATATAAAACACACACAAAAATAGAACAAACAGACGGCAACGGCTTTCGAATGTATGCACATACATATATATGTATGTTTGCGTTTGTATTAGCTGCTATCATAGCGTAATGTTGTCGTCAAATCGTAATATAAAAACAACAGTTACAAGCAAAAGCTGCTCGTAGTCGTAGAGCACAAGGAATTACATAATATTAATAAGACTAATGAGTTGACTTTTAACCTTCAGATTTTTGCCAATTAAGGGATATTTAATTCATCCTTGAACTTGCGTCTATTCTAATTGTCCTTTAATGACGATTTTATAAAATAGTTCATATAATCGATTTATTCAATATTTTCATTCTAATATTAAACATAATTAAGTCTTGAAAAGTATTTTTATCTTCCATTGTCTTTGTTGTTTTGAGTTTGAGCTCGGCGTTACAGAAAGACGTAACATAATGTCAGGGGATTTGCGAATTTCTTGATTCTCTTAGCGAGCATTAAATAAAAAGTAACTGTTTGTTTTGTCTTTTGTTTACATATATATGGTACACCTTCCGTGTAGAGGAATGGCTCGACCCGCTTTCTTTGATTTCTTTCTTTTCAATATTAATCGCGTCGTATAAAAAGCTTTGGGGTCTTATCGAATTTAAGCGAGAAGTTCAGAATAAAAATTAAACTGATATTAAAAAGGCAACGGCACCCGATGCCCCATTTCGTTAAAAAGTTGAAGATATCTGTCATTAATAAATTTCCTTGCGTTTTTTAATCATTTATGTGCAGACAGACGACACTTGCCGTTGATGCCTTAATACGGGTCGCAATGTATAGCAAATTGGTTTTCGCTTTCTTTGCAACGAAACTTCATAGTCTAAAAAATAATGTTTCTACCATGCAAATGTAAATCAAGTTAGTTGTTTAGTTAAAAAAGTTTAGCCCTATTCGTAACAGTTGAAAGACAAAATCATAAACTTACAATGGAAAGGTTGGGAAAAAAAACACAACTGCAAGCAGCACTTCGTTAGTTTGCCGTGGAAGCCAGATGTATTTTTACTGACAAAAGCAACTATGAATCATGCATCCCCCAACACTCTCAGACCATTAAAATAAAGATACAATGATAATGAAAGGAAAAATCAGAGATTATCGTAAAAAGCCTTTCAGTGCTACACAACAACAACGATTGTACAAAGAATAAAAGAGAAAAATTATTATTATTGATATATAAGCCTTTAACAAAAATACATATAAATAGGTTAATATTTATTAATAAACGATTTTTATAATAACTCATTCACTAAGGATGAAATATCAAGAAGAAAATGAAACAAGCAAGAAAACCAAATTGTCCTGCCCTTGTACTACAAACGTAGAATCGGTGTAAACTTGTCCGTCCCTTCCTCTAAATATCACATGCCACTCGATGGCTCCATGGCCGCCTCCTCGATAGGCAAAAAACGAGTTCAAAAAAAAAAAAAAACAAGCCAAATATTTGTCTTCTAAAGGTTACTCATATTTACCAAGATACTCAATACCAAATTAGATACAATTAGCCCTCACACATATCTCTACAATAAGCAAGAAACTAAGATGACCTTTTCTACCTTCCTGCATCAATTTACGTTACACTAAAATATGCGATGGAGGGGCCCGCGTCCTAGACGTAACTTTGTAATTTTAAGTTCTGCCGGGATTGACGAGCCTCTGCTTTTCGTAGTTGAATATTGAGACTCCTCGATATTAAAAACCACATTCCCCTTAATAGTATTTCGACAGTTGAAACCAAATTATTTTTAATATCATTAATACGATATAGCCGCACTTTTGCTTACCTGTAAACAAAATACTTCGCTTATATATATCACTATGTATGTACGTGTACTAGCAAAATAACCTATTGAGCTGCTAAATGATGAAGAGAAACTGAACAAGCAAGCTAGCGCAAGAGCGCCAGCATTCAATAAGTCGAAGGTGCACTTAGGGTTTATTTACTTCCAAATATTCTTTAATTGATGGCGAACTTCTCACGTCAAAATAGAAGAGGAATTTTTGAAGAGGCAACACTAAAGTACAAAAATGTGTACAGCATTCGAGGGATAGAAATTGCTCCTTGTATCTGGATATACTTTTGATTACGAATTTATAATATAATGCACGAAGGAAAGCATAACAGGAAAACATGAAAAGAAAAATACAATGAACTTGCGCTGAACTGCAAACCACCGAAAAAAAATTTAGCTAAGAAAAATACATCGTCAAAGGAAACAGTAGACACTTCGATTTGTTACGTCATATGTCGCACAAATTACCAATTCATTCACATTAGATTTGTGTATACATATATAAAGAAGGTTGCTTTCAATTAACTCTCATCGCGTAGTAAAGATGTAAGGTCGTCACCTTAGAAAGTTGTTGGAAAAACTTCTGCTTCTTAAATAAATGCTCTGTAAATTTTAGATGTACGTCTTTGGTAAACGTCGAATTAAAAGGGTTTTATTGCGTTAACATTTCACAAAACTCCTTTTCATTTGTAGACGGTTTCACCTTTACTTTTCAATTTTCATTAGTTTCACTATTTCCAATTAATTTTTCCTCTTTTACATAAAAAACACAAGTAAATTTTCAAATTCAATGGCCATGACGACGTCGACTGTGATGGTGGCTTTGTGTAAAATATGTATAAAATAGAGAAAAAAAACAACAAAAGAAGTGGAGAGAAAGTGCGTCGTAGAGAATAAATTCAAGCAAATATTATTAATTATAATAAATTAAAATTTAATTTACTTCAACTTTGGCTGACTTTAATAAGATCTGCTAAGAATATTCACCTAAAATAAATGCAACTCTGTCCAATACATAAAAAAGTTGGATGAAAACGGAAGAAGCAACCACGATGACAAACAAAAAATTAAAACACAACAATTAACATAAACGTTGGCAGAATAAAAACAATACGAATATTAATTAGTAAAGATAGAAAGATCAGGCTAACATAAATGATCGTCGAGAAAGCTAAAATAAATTACAATTTGGATTACATGCAATCTTCCAAATCCAAAATGAATAAAACAAAAAAAAATTGGAAACTAAAAATTAAGCCGGCATTGACCAAGGGGCGTTGAGTACTGGTAATGCCTCTGCTGCTGTCTATGTCCACATATGGATTTAATACATCGGAAGGCATTTGTCAGATGAACGAAAGGGACAGCTATACAACAATATTTCTGTATATAAACTTCATTCGAATGATAAAATGAAACAGAATATGAATCTGACCACAGTGCAGTGGATAGTACTTCTTCGCGCAAAAAGACGACACAAGACGCTGACATATCTGTTCAAAAAAAAAAAAAAAAAAGAAAAACGAAAAAGAAAAAATGACGTTTCTGTCGCTTCCTTCTGTTTTTCTACGTATCTATAACAAAGATTTCTTTTTGTCCTTTTTGCGAATATCTACTCAAAATTTCCAAAAAGAATTGTGCCGTTTTTTCACTGATAATTCAACAATATTAAATTAATCCCAATTTGCAACAATCATTCGTTTGCGTGCAATCCAAAGTTAATCGTTGAGTAACACACCTTGAAAGTGGTGTTTAGAAAAGATTAAAAATGCCTTCCTTTGTGTCCCGTCGTAGCATTTTCCCCATTCTATATCTTTTTCCCCATTAACTGCTATACTTCTGGAGGTCATAGATTTACATCCTTCATTGTATATGTCCTTTCTTTGTAACACATGTGCACAAATTCACATAAGTTAAGGTGATTATAGATCAGAGGACACTCTACATACATATCCCTCATTCCCATCAAATCGTGACAAATAAAATAAACACACGTTGCCTGTTGGACTGATGTAGGTTTTTTAACAACGTTGTCATTATCACACACATTGCACACTTTATCTCGAAAAATCATTCAGTTTCAGCGTTTTTTTTATATCATGTTTTCAGTGGAGAACAGCGTACATGAAAAAAAAATTAAATTTCGTGCCATGTCTGTGGTGTCTCATTCGGATCCCCATCTTTTTCTTTCTTTTTCGATCAATTTTTCCCCGTCTTTTATTCGTTTCATTTTTTTTTTCACTTTCGGGGAGACGACGACGACGTTTCACATTTCTTGCATAAAAATTTTATACGAAAAAATTTACACAATTTTCATTTTCACAATTCATCAGCTTCCTCTTAGCATTTTTTTTAACATTCTCGTTCTTTCTATGCATTATTTTTTAAACGAAAATATCTATTCACTTAATTTCGTTTTTTGTATTTTTCTTTGTTTTTTTGCCAAACATACCTTATTAATTCTTTTTAACGCCATTTTATGCTGTTAAAAATTTGATTTTCTTTCTTTAGTAGAATATCTAAATGTATGGGTGTCTGTAGGGCGGCTCACTGTGTTGGAGCTTCACGCACAAAAACCAAATTTCTTAATTATATTTTTTATGAAAATAATAAAAAAGAAAAAAGAATGAATTTTCTTCTTTGCTTGATTCAAAGTTTTGGCAAATGATGGTGTAGTAAGACGAATTCACAATATCTCGCAGCAGACTGCTTTTTGACGAACGTACGAAACTCGGCTCGCCGACCACACAACGAACTGAATAAGCAAAACCAATTAGAAAGAGAACGCACTACACGTTCCAAAGCACTTGTATCAATTGTCTCAACTAGTTACTATATCCCGCGACTTGTTTGCAAAATGAGAAAGGGATAGCAGTCTGTGCAACTTGCGCGCGGCTTTTCTTTGACAACTATTTCTCTCGCCGGGGATTTTTCCCACAGTTCGCCTTGTCGCTCAAACTTGCTGTATTTAATGGCAATAAAAAATAAAAATGTTTTTTCAATGTTCTTTTTCCTTCGCTTCGTTTTTGCTGAACACCAATTGACAATATTTCGTATGTCTCATAAAAATTTGTAAAGACAAAACATCAATTCCTTTTAACAATAATTTCAGTTCGCCTACTTTTTATAAAATATTCCAGAATATTTTTTTGTTTAATTGATAAAGAAATTTTATCTTTTTGTATAAATGCACAACACTTCCACAGATTCGCACCACTTGCACTTTTCTCCAGCTAGACGCAAAATGTTTGCCATTCACCTAGCTGAACTGATTTGCCATTAGCGGCGAATTCAAACGATAACTAATGTGTATATGAGGCGAATACAATATAATTTAATGAACTTTTAAATTTTTGACGCCGTTTTCTGAAATTTATTTTGTGTGTTACGCAAAACGGAATTTTTGATACTTCATTCGTTTTGATAACGTTAAGACCGATAACTTCTATAAGATTTTTTAAATGCAACTATGTATTCATTTTTAGGTTGCAAAACAAAGTAATCGAACGAGGGAATACGTCCTACATTAATGAAAACAATTAAAAATTTTAATACTTTATTTCTGAATTTTTCCAAAATATATTTTAACGCTTGTACATAAAAGAGGATAGATTGTTATGTTTTTTTGTGTATATTTCTATAAAGATAATTTATAATTTTACAACATAATAAAGAGTTGATTATTAAAGAAATTGCAATGAGACATTGATTAAAGCTATTCTACTAGGAAATAATATCGTATACATATTAAATAGGAAATAAACTCTTGGGCATCCACGCAATTATATAATTACTACGAAAATAACAGACCGGAACTGAATAAGACATTAAATTGCTTTAAAAAATAAATTTTTGTATTATTTATCTTACTTTCGACTAAAAAATTAAAAAATCAATTTCTCATTTTGAAAGTTTTCAGTTTTTATCAATAACTTGGCGTTAGATATATTCCGTTGTTTTTTGCGAATTAATAACTGCGGCAACTCAATAGACTAAAGATAAAAAAGTAAACAAGTGTTGAGCATGGCAACACTATTTTGCGGATGGAAAAGAAAATAAGCAACAATAAGTTGTCAATTTTTATTCCTCGTCAGGTCATAGGCAGAAAAAACAGCGGTGAAAAATGAAAAAATTAATAATTGAAGAGAGAAAGACGTTCTTTGTAAAAGTACTAGCAATGTGAATAATAAATATTAAGTTTCGATAGCTGTTAAGGGTAATAGTGAATAAAAAAATTTAAGAATATTATTTTAAAAAAGAAGAAGAGTAGAAAGTGTCTGCATATTGGAAAAAAATTACAGACAATTTTTATGCAAAAGATTTTTGCTCATGTTCAAATACATGTGTTCGTGTGTGTATTCATATGAAAAATCAAACATACAGATATATAGAATACAGTTTATTTAATTGAAAAATAGATCTTAGAATATATAAACTCCTTTCATTAAAATTCGTGAATTGCTGAAAAAACTTTTAGCTTCGTATTCCATTCGTTGACTTTTTTATTGCTTTATATGCTTTATTTTTTATATGCTTGCAAAAAAAGGAAAAAAAGAGAATTCGGTTAACTCCCAGTTTAATTGCATGAGTGTGGGTGAGTGTAAAAAGAAAATTATGTATTAAAAACAGGATCAGACAACAAGGCTTAAGAACCTCACGTCTATGTGATAAAAAATATTTTATGTTTTTTTTTTTTGCGGTTCGTCCAAGAGCAATAATAACGTTAATAATATAGTAATACGACGTTAATGAAAAGGCATGTGTTTGAAACACCATGCCATCGCTACTAACAAAACGACGTTTGCAATGTCTACCAAAAAATCATCAAATTCCAACCGTCCAATTTTCTAAGAGGAATACGACGTTCTTACGAAAACAAAGAAATTTACGATTATTACACATAGTAGCAACGAAAATTTTATAGTAAAGAATTGAAAGTTCGCGCACAGCAGTAAAATCATCAGATAGCCTGGATAATATTATATATATATGTATACTATTTTAATAGCATATGTACATACGTTCCTATGGCAACAACATTAGATTTTGAAGATGAAGGTGGAGATGACACCTCGAGTGTTACAATATGCAGTACATCCAGCATTCATCCTCAAACCATGCATTATAATAATCGTAAATTGGAAGCAAACGCCAGCAGCTGTAATAATTGCTGTGCTGCCATCATCGACCATCATCACCGCCATAACCCCCACGACATAAACAATGAAGCCGCCATTGAGAAAACCACCGCTGAAAGTCAACATAAAGATCGCAGTATGGATGACGATTGCAATGAAAATATGGGGTGCGGCTCAACTATAGACAATGTAGGCTTAGTGAATCAAATAGAAACGGCGGCAACAATTGTTGCTATGAAGACAGCATCGCAACGACACCAACCACCACATCTTCAGCAACATGTCGTTTTTACACAGCCGGAAGCGCAAATTGCCTCCAACGCTTTATCGGTTAATAAAAATTTGCTGTTGTGTCGCCGTTTTAAGGATTCGGGCGATACATTGCGCAATTTTAACTCGCTGCCATTATTTGTTTACGCTACATCACCTTCTACGCATGCCATTTCAGCGGATGGTGTGGGTGTTGCTAAAGTTGCTGTTAAAGCAGCTGAGGAAGCTGCCAAGGTAACTTAGTTATTGCAATTTTAATTTCTAATCAATTTTCATTTTTCAATTTGTCTGCCAAAATTTTCGTAAACCAAAGGTGCAATTGTTAGCAACGCCTTTTATTTGTAAGAAAGAGTTAAAGATTGATATCAGTTCTTTTTGCTATAATTAACCTGAAAATTTGCAAGAAATTTTCTCAAATGACATACATATAAAGTTCGATAGGAAATCTGAATGCTCGCACTCGGAATTTTTCAGTTTTTAAGATATATCATGAAAAAACCTGATATAATAACTATGTGCCTTCTATTACAATACATCTGTCGTTTTGTGTTATTTTAAAGAAGTTCTTCTTCTCGACTTTTTGTTTGCTTATTTGTGTTGATGCATTTTCCATAGTGCTGTGTGTACTCTCTATATTATAACTGTGTGTTGATCTATTATTATTCATGACTCTCATGTAATGTTTATTAATTCGGAACAAACTTTTTGTTGTTTACTTTTTATATATTCATCCGTTTGAAAGATTAAAAACAAAGTTTATGCAGCTATTCGATAGCGTGACCAGACAGTTGTTTGGTTTAGTTAGCGATCGTTAGATACAGAAATTTCGAAATGTAGCTCTGGTGAAGGACTTGCAAACTTAGATAAAGGATAGGTTTCGGCCGATCTGTCGGAAGAACGCAGTTAAAGCTACACGCAAGGGTATAGCGAATAAATTTCAATTAAACGCACTTTTCTGGACTTAGAGGCGAATCTTTATTAGATTAAGCAAAAAAAAAAACTAGTTTTTTAGGTCGGTTTAGTAAGCATAAAAGAAAAACGGCCCGATGTCCTTACAAATCTTTTCTTTGGTCGTTCGGGAACGTATTGGTCGGTGCGGCGATATACACACCATACGATTTAAGGCGTATGCACTTTTGTTTTGCTCCCCCCCTTTTACCGCAAGGGTAAATATTATATACAGCAACTACATGTGCATAGGAGTTAAGCATCTGTTCATTGTTGTTGTTATGTCTGTAGTATTGGTTAATTCGTGTATTTTGTTTGAGTTGTTACTGTTCTGCTTGGCTGGTCGCATTTGGTGGTAACAAAGTGCGATCACCCGTTGTCGCTGACTTGTTATATTTTCGCCTTTAAATGGGCCATATATCTTAGCAAACCGCTTGTAACAATCGGAGTCTTTCAGAAATTTTATATAAATTTTGTCAATGTCTTGGCAGCTATTTAGTAAGTGACATGAGCTTTGTTAATAATTATTTTTCACTCTTTGATCAAGATTTCAAATCTAGAGGAAACTGAGGCAAAAATTCAATTCTCTATGAGCAACAGAAAGTCAGGTGGAGTTATAGCGTCCAGCAAGATATGTTTGACGACTTGTTTAGCGATATTTATCAAAGCAACGCTTACGTTTTTTAAAAAGCTTCGGCTTTTCCAGGCCGTCAAATCAATTTCTTCGCGTTTCGAAAAGGGTAAGACCTATGCATCCAACGCGGGCATAATTGTCTTGTAGTGGGGCATCTACAATTCGTTCCAAAGCGATTTCATCTTCCCAATCTTTTTACTTTCCTTGCAATCAATTCGATATTCAATGTATTCCATTTTGTTTTTTTTTTTTTGTTTTTGTTTTTGGAGACTTTCGCAAAAAGTTAAGTCATAACAACTAACTGCTATCAAATTATTGCTATAATTTATTCATATTTTGTTTATAATTTGTTAATATTTAAACAACAACATTACATATATATATTTATACAGCTCAGAACTTGCTAAAAGTGAGTGTAGGAAATATATCAATGACTGAGTCATTATATGCACATAACTCTTATCACGAGCTCGCATGAAAAACTATACGAAGACCGTTGTCTTTTTATTGCTTCAATTCCAAGGGGCCAAATACCCAATAATCCCAAATACTTAATGGCAAAGTTGTAGGACAATATATGAAATGTCCGGTGAACCTTTGCTGCAAACTATCAGAGTTTTCTGACTTTCTTGGGACTTCTCAAAATATGGCACTTTCTATTGTTCTTAATATTATACTTAATATAAAACTAATTAGCTAACTATCAAACAATCTTGAGCATCATATAAAAGATATTCAAAAATTTACGCAAGTTACGCAAGTGTTGCATTAAATAAATATTTTTTTTTGACCCATGATATACCTACAAAAGGGTTATGTGTGGAATGGCACATTGATCGAAAGAAAAAGTTTTATCCGCGTTTCTTTGCTTCTCAGTGTACTGAAAGTGTATGGGAAAATTTCAATATAGCACTCGTTGTAGCGAGTAGTTCACAGAAATTGTAGCTTGTAGCACCTGAGAAATGTCACGGATGAATGCATTTTTCGGAAATTACTGAGGTATTTGATATCTGCGCATATGTACACCTGCAGTAAAAGCAGGGGATTTTATAATAATACAATTACATATATATATATATATATAGTTACATGCATATTAATGGTTATATATTTACGTGTGCCTGCACACGCAACAAAAAAGTATGCGCAATTATTTACCATACATCCCGATTGTATTGTAGAAAATTACTATACGTCTTGAGCAGGCCTGTGCTTATGGCCAAATTTGAGTTTTCGTGTATAGCTTTGCGTGGGCACTCATCGGTACGCCCTGAACTCGCGTATAGATCGGAAGAGGCAAATAGATTTAGAGAAAGAGATTCGTTCAGAAGAAGACTTGCAAACACGATCGTGAATACTTAAATTATAAAATATTAAATTTTGTTTACATTTAAAACCAATGACACAAGACTGTCCTACATATGTTTGTGTAACAATTACTAATAATGCTCGTAATCGATTAATGATAACAATAATGATAACGATAATAATAATAATAATAATAATAATAATGATGTGTTCATATATGTGCTTATATGTGCCTACGTGCAAAAACGTGCAAACTGAATGCTTTCGTCTTAAGGAGATTTTTGAATGCTCGACCTCTTGAGTTTTTTTAGGAAACACTAACAATATATAAGTAATTATGTATGAGTCAATTGTGAGTAGCTTAATAAGGGGGCGTGGTCTCAAGCTGATCAATTTGTTTTGCAATGCAATAATGAAATATATGTCTGTTAAATTTCATCCCCCTCTCAAGTATTGTTTTGCAATCTTATTGCAATAATCTGAAGTGAGCGTCAGAATCAAATGTCCTTGCGAAAACACACTGTCCTTATCTCTCGCCCACCCCCCATTTACATTATGTTAATTATACAACATTTAGATGTCAAGGCAAATAGAGCGTTGTTATCGTTTAACATTTTGAAACTTGCTTTAAAAGGTCCGTCACGTACGCTCAATTCGAAATGTGGCAAATATATCTTCTTAGGTTTGATAGTTCGAGGATGTCTAGTCTTAAATAAAGGAAGAATTGTTACCAAACGGTGAGGCCTGCTTAGCGTTTTGGGAAACCTAGAGCTACTTTTACATTACATGGATTGACGAAGTGATGAACGTGAAGTTGGTTGTAAAAATTCGAAAGAGAGCGCTTGTGTTTGTTACAAACGAGGGGAAAAATTTAGTTTAATTCTTACGATTGCGTACATACATACATATGTATGTATGTATAGAAACGCTACAGTGATTCATAAAAAGCCATAAAAAATTTTATAAGTTAACTTCAGTTAATATGAAAATACTTTGTGGTATTTATATATTTGTTCCACATGCACAGAAATTATGATCAAATGCTGGAAACAAACTATACAAACATATATACATTTCTTTATTTACTATAATACGTATGTAACACGTAAGCAAAGTGAGCGGTTTTCGATGGTAAAATTCGCATTTTTTGTAATGACAAACAAAAACAAAAAAGATGAAACCCACAGACGGGCTTATACTATCATTACGATTCTTATTTTTCTTCTTCTTCTTCTTTTTGTTTGACTTCAATTGAGTAGATGTTGAGAATTGTTCGCTGTTGTTGATTTTTTGTTTATTTTTCAGCAAACACATCATTATAATGTGTATCGTACAATAAAGTTCTGCATCCAACAACACAGACAAACAGAATAAAATTACCAAAGTTAATGTGTGTAGGCAACAATAAAAAAAAAAAAAAGATATAAAAAGAACAACAAGCAACAACCAACAACCGACAACCATAATATTATCATCATCCATGCATTCTCTTTAACAATTCAAACACTCACTCGTTTACTCACTGAACGATGACGACAATGTTGCTAAGCTGTTCCTCGTTTCGTTTGGTTGATGCAGCAGACAACACAAGACACAGACAAGAGATAATAAAACGGCAACTTCAGTACAACAGTAATAACATAAAATTTTTGGTGCTCATCATATAGAGATAAGTCAACATATGCACACACACACACACACACACAAACACACATACGCACGCATACTTGCTTATACACATGTAGTCATTATTATCTATCATTATAATCAACATTTGTGGGTTTGTTCGTCATCATCATTATTATCGTCATCGTCATCGTCATCATTATCATATTTATTACGATGATGAATGCGAGCACCACATCGACATATTTTTTCCTTTTTTTTACATTTTTACTCATCTTTGTTATCACAAATGCAAACATTTTAGAACATATGGCTCAATGATTGCAATGCCCGTCTGATTGCTTCAACTCCCGTTCTCCTCATTATATGATGTATGTGCGTCTAGCGAGCTCTAACATGAACGCATGTAATAATCGTGTCTCAATTCCTATACAGTGTGCTTTTTGTTTTCGTTGTGCCTTTGCTATATAGATTTTAGATTGGCAACGCGACTCTTTGCAGCAAAGTTGAACAAGTGCTTTATAGGGAAACGCTGTTAATGCAAGAAAAAGAAGGAGGGTCACCGTTATATTTTTGTGCGTATTGTTTGCTTTGACAAACTTCCCATGTTTAACCACCCGCAACAAACCGTTTCGTTATGTTATGGGGGAGGATCGAACAATGCTTCTTTTATGTTATGATAGGTTATTGTTTGAAGCCTTCTTTGTATTTTCTTTTT